TCGAGCACGTTCACTCCCAGCCTAAACACTTGGTCAGCACTTTGCGGTCATATAGACCAGGTTACTGGAATAACATCTCACAAGATCAACGATAGTCATGGTGCTACCACCCCATCTACCTGGCATACGTCCTCCGCTTCGCTTCTTCACCTCAACGCAGAAGAATCCATGACTTCTTGATGAAACACTATTAGATCCAGTTCCAGCTACTCGGCGCTCACACAGTCCAGCCTCAAGAACCAAAAGAGCTTCTTTGAGAGACCCGCATACAATTTTTCGAAGGCCGGCCACCACTTTCCTGTCTGGAGATGCTTCCGTAGGCTTGAACAACAGTGCCCGGCGACGAGAGTCCTTTGTCGATTTGCCTGGCAGCGCGGGGGTAAGAAGATCAAATATTCGGTCATTGTACACCTCGTACATGGAGATTAGTATGGCATATTCCGCATGTTCATCTGCATTAACATGGACATTGCTGATATCAGGAAATCGAGGAATAGCACTTGGCTTCTTGCGTAATGGTGTGGGTGCTGGAGTATAAGGTTCGCCCTGTGCAGATAATTTAGTACTTGACTTCTTGGAGCGCGCTCTAGTCATTCGCATAAATGATGGAACAAAATGAGGAGTAGTAGGCGCTGAAGGCATCGTGACTATCGATGGCTCAACGGTGCGTTGCTCTTTGACCACAATTCGGATGCTCTTGGGACTACCGGTGTCATGAACTTGTAGACTCGGATAAAGCTCATGGGAGGAAGGGTGGAGGTTGAAATGGGCCGATGCCCCGGAAGTAGATCGTACCACCATAGGTGTCGGTGCTCGTGAGCTTGCCCTAGATTGTGTTGTGTCACCGTACATGGTTTCGAGATACATGGGTGCTGACATAACCTGTGCTTCGCTGGCATCTGATGCAGCAATTGTGGCATGAAGGCTGTGGTTTTTGGAAGGATCGAGGATGCTTGGCTGAATTGAGCGAAAGAGAACTTCTAGTGCGAGTTGAGTGAGGCCGCGCTGGCTTCGAGAACCTAGAATTGTGTGACTCTACGAGACATTAGCCAGCATCGAGTCTCTACCATTATCATTCGTACCTTTCCAGAGCCTGTAACACCTAGAGTGGCCAGTAGCCCGTCTCTTCCATCTCCATGTGCCCCAAGAACTCCCTCAACCAAGGGTAAAACCCCAGTTCCTTCAAATATCTCTAGCTGACTCGTATCCTCCTCGAAGACCTTTGTGAAGGCAAACTTCTCCACTGCGCGACGTCGATTATCGTTCGGGGGGTTGAGAGTTACATGTGTGGGTAGTTCGTTCTCAAATTGCGCCTCCTCGACTGAGAGGAAGCGCTCTGGTGCCGCCAAGGTTGGGTACAGCAAGTTTGCTTGTGGAGATGGCCGCAGACGAAGGTAGACCTGGAACAGTTGTGATTTCTGCTGAGGAGGATCCATGATGTCTATGTCATCCACGTCGAAATGAGATGTGGTTTCTGTGTACCGTGTCGCAATTGATGTTTGTCTGTTGATCGAGGATCGAGGATCAATAAAAAAAGTGGGAAGATGGGGTCATGGTAGCCAAGGCAACTAAACTATCAAGCGAAGAAACCCCCTTTCACTTCCACTTCCACTCCCACTTGCATTTCAGCACCACAACTTCACCTGAGCAATGTACCTTATGTCCTTGGTGCTCATATTTATACAGTTTTCGCTGCTATTATTCGCGCAGGGCAGTTCGAGGCCACTTCGTAAAGTGTCGCAAAGTCAGACACAATCTATGCGGAAATGATGAACTACTGCATGCTAGATACCCGCGCTCGACCAGAAGCTATATAGTCTTAGGTTTCCCAATAAGTATTAGCAACAACAGTGAATGATGATCAGTGGGCTCTATCTTCAAACTATCAAGACTTGATACAGCTACCTACTCTGTCTTCCAACGGAGAACCTGCGAAGACGCTGCTAGTTAGATAAGTTGAATTCGCCATAAAATCTCATCCAGAAGACAATATTACTCATACTAGTCCTGGTTCCCAAAATCACAGTAAGCACATCTTACGAAGCTAACAACAACCCTCCTATCGCCTCAAGCTTTTTTTTTCGCTTTCACCACTGCAAAGGACGGCTGCTCGAGAAACGGTGCCCAAAATTCCCAGTCTCGTCTAATGACCTCCTCATTCTCATAAGGTTCGATTTCTACACCTTGAAGCCCAAATCTATCATGCAACCCCGTCAATCCAGATTAGCTGGCCTCCATCGATGCAGCTTCGAACTCCATGGGTTAGTCCGTCAGAACGACTTAGCGATATTTCCAGCCGCCGGGAATTGCAACGTGGTCTTTAACTACTACGCCATATGTTCCCTTCATAACAGAGGGAGTCTTCGTAAAGCTTTCGATCAGGAGTTGTAAGAAACAGACCTGGCACTATGTAAGCTGCAAGCCCCGAAGAACGGTTGCGACAACAGTCCAGACGAAATACCGCTCTGTGCACAAGTCTCCCCAGTTGGTATAGCCTCAGCTATTGCATCCGTACTCGTCGTTTCTCCCGTACTTTCTCTGGTACTTTGGGTTGATGGTCTTGTCGATGTCGTAGAAGCTGGTGTACTTGCAGAAGTCATTCCAACTCCATTACTATCGGTACCGTTCAGCGGTCAGACCACTCTCTTCTTGGACAATTTATTCCAGGCTGTTTTCATGCTCTTTCGGAACCTAAGCACACCAGCCAATTCTGGAAACAATGAACAGATACCAAGAACCATGGCGATAATATACGACTTCCTTAGACTTAAATTCTGCGAGAAATTTGATGAGCTTGTCGATTGTGACGAAATTGCTGTTGTTTTTGCTTTTGCCTTTGGTGCCGGCGTCGAATCAACATTTACTGGGACGTGTATAGGCCAAGTATTGGTATCGTTAACTGATCTGGACTAGAATCAGATTTGTGTGTGCCTTATTAAATAGAGTTCGTGGAGCTAGGAGGAACTCAACTCATCAATTACATCTCGAATGAACATTGTGGCTATCTGTTTGTACTTCCACTTCACGGCTTTCTAAGTCCAGCTAGGCTGTAGGAACTTGTTTCCAACCATGCACCTCCGCCCTTGCCGTCGACCTCCGACTCGGACAAAGTGTGGACGTGTGGATCACTGGGGTCGCCGTAAGCATTGCGGCCACTCCATACATAGAATACCGCCTCATCTGGTAACTCTGAAAGATTTGAGTTATCCAGCTTAGGAGGTCCCTGCTTGGTGATATCCTTGATTACCAATGAAACATATGTCCACAAGGTAGTCAAGTGGATAGACAATTTGATGTTGTCTTAAAAGTCGGTGCAAGTCATTATGTTAGAGAACGCGATGGTGTTTTCGAGCTTTTTAACTAACTTACAGTTTGCTAGCCACCAATAGGCTAAGATAGGTAGGCACCTCTCTACTATAGATGTACATATAGCTTTTAACAATAAGAGCTTCGGGCTCGAAGTTCTTAGAAGGGCGGCTGGAGAGGTAGCTGGCACTGCATCTCTAGTGGGTACATGCTGTGTATACTCTTCTCACGACAAGAGTTTGGGAAGGCAGCTTGTGCTGGTAGGTTTGAATCCTGCAGCTGCCAACCCATCATGCTCAAGATAACAGTGTGGCTAGTAGGATGATGGATTGACGAGTAGCAACAGCGGCCTCGAAAGCGACTGCGACTCGATCTCAGATTGTCCTGAGGGCCTGACAGCTCACGCGCGGCTCTGGTCATAGTGGCAGATGGGATTGTGCTGAGGGGCTACCACGGTCGGTGGTCAGCTAAGGAGGAAGGTGGCTGCAGTGAAGCGCTCGTGCAAGCCGGCGGCAACTCCTCAGGGTTTCCCTACCTCAACATAGCCTCAATTGGATCACCCATATATCAGATGCGGTAACATTATACAAAGTACAACAGAGCAAACACACAGCACACATAATTCTGTGGACCTTGGAGAGCATCACTAATTCCTGCCTGTGGAACGGGAGATTAGGACGAGAGATAACGATATTAGGAAGGCCGTTCCCTGTGAGGACCAGGGGGGGCTGTGGAATCACGGTTGCTATGGCCAACGGAGTTGCAACATTGCTGCACTGTAGCCGTAGCACACTAGTTATCTAGGGACCGCAACACAAGACAATTGGTATCCGAGCCATAGCCTTGTACAAAAGTCACAAACAAAGCACTTCTGTCAACGGATATGTATATATGCTTAGATAGAAGCCAGACCACTCAGTGAAGGAGGTTGCTGGTCAAACGCGTGTGATGAAGTGAAGTGTGTCTCCTGGTACACGCAGTTCGGCATTAGCTGGCCAACTGACGACTGGATCAATGTATGGACCAATCGATCAATCAAGTTCCTAGAAGTTTCGAGGAATTAAAAAACGTACTAGGGTGCCATGACGGGGGATAGCGTTCTAACGATACCTTATACATTTCTATCCTTTGGCTACCTACAGTATTAGTTATAATTAACTATGCCATACTATTCGTTACGATCAAGATCTGAAGGCTATTTGAATTCAGATGGACGTGAGGGGAAGGTGATGTGGCAACGTGACGGCAGAAAGACTTGAGGCTGATCTCCAGAGCTTCTTTCTCTCCACCTCCCTCCTTTCTCGCTTTGTCTTTTGTTCTCCATACTCACAGTAGCTTATAGCACAAATTTGAGTAGTCGTTCTTCCTGAGTATTATTGTGATCTGCCGTATGTGAGCCCTTACACTATTAATCTAGCCCTAATAGTACTTCCGTAGGCCAATCGAAGATATATAGTCGTTCTCCAAACTCTTGGTTTGTGGCTAGGTCTCCCTGACTTGTTATACATATATAAAAACTAGATAGATACAGCTCGATAAATATTACCATGCCATAAGTAGAATCTGTAAACTTCTTCCCAGAGTAGATAGAAAATGTCCTCAATTATTAGGTATGCCAAGAAAGAGTGGACCGCGAAAAATAAAAATAAAAATAAAAATAAAAATTCAATGGAAAAGCAGGATGGTACAAGAATTGCGTTCGCCGGGAATCGAACCCGGGGCCAATCCAAGTAGTTTGTGTGGGATACACTAATGGCAAGGATCGATTTTACCACTAAACCACAAACGCTTATATACAATTCGTACAACTGTTGTGATGACATAGATGTTGAATAGGGTTATATATATATACATATGTGTACCAGAGAGCCAGATATCTACACACGCTTTGGTTGCCTAGTAGCGACTGCAATACAAGGACTTATGTCATTATTTCTCTTCCTGAAGAAGGTGAGTTACGAGACTGACATGCTGTGCAGGTTGGGTTCGTATGTGATCTGCATTTGTTCGTAGGCAGCCTTCCCAACTTTCGCCATCTTGTAACGTTCAGAAATTTCTCAGTTAGTATTCAGGCTTGGAATACTCAGCTGAGATCTTCTTGAGTAGAAGCAACGTCAGGTTGGTATTATCAATCGAAGTGAATCACGTCGAAGTGATTCCGTTACAAGTGTTGCAAACTGTAAGGTAAACAAAACTATATGAATTTGAGCACGCTGCTCAATCTATGGAAACTACAGAGACTATATACTAGGAGATTCCATCTGGTTTCTCAGGACCCTTCGTAGGTCCATCGAGGTCCATCACGTGATACTAGCAATCTGATAATTCCCTGGCTCGCTTACTCCCGTAGGTAAGCGACCAGTAGTATATACGAGATGCTCTTCCCAAGGTTCTACTATTATTTTCATCATTGAGCCTAAGGTCCCTGGTCACGTGGTCTGGATCGTGACAAATTTCTACCATGGATAGTTCCCTAGGACACAAAGATCAATGAAAATGAAAATGAAAATAAACTGTAAAACACTGCTTCTATCAAGCCCCTCCACTCCTATATGCTACCTGAGAATGTTGGCTAATCTTGACAGCCTCACAACGTTCCACTTATATCAAGGAAGGTATATAATGTAAATTTGACTATAAGAGATTCTCGAGGAAGGGAGAGAAGTTCTAAGAGAATCAAGCTATATATACAGGTGGGTTGCCAAGTGTGGAATGTGTTATGTTACAGGACGAGTTCTGATCCTGATCCTAATCCTGATTGCACATACTCTACACTTGTGAGGGTTAGAACCCATGATGGTGCTCGGGCCAAGGCCCTCGCTTAATTTAGCGTGCTTCCATACCTTTCTCCCTGTTTCTCGTATGTTCTACAGCCTGTACGCTTCTATTTAAAGGAGCATATGCTCTCGCATGTATTTACTCTTCACGCACTTCTTATAGTTTAATACTGAAACCTACCTTTGAGTTATCGAGGTCTGGCCTCTCACAACACTTACTAGCACCAAGCCCAGTACGAAGCCACGCGCTCCCATCACCATGAACCATAGCAAGTCTCTCCTCCCTAGTCGCGTTCTTCCGAAAGCCCTGTTGACGGATTCGCTTGTCAAACTGTGGTTTCGTAACGAGAACATGTTCTTATACAAGAAGCGTCCGGATTCTCGGAAACGTGTCCAGGAACTGAAAGGGAGGCGAATTAGATCCTCGTTGTGGTAATATGTCTGATAACAACAATTGACCAACTATGTGGTGGTCCCTGCGCAGTCAATTTTGACAGACGCTGTGTACTGTACCGTACTGTAGGCAGAATCTGAAGATTATCAGGCGAAGTACAAGCATTCTGCTACAAGGAAGCCATGCCACATAACAAGTCCAATATGTCCTAGGTACTCATTTGATCGTTATAGTCGTTATATTAGCGCAAGTCGCAGAAGATTCGCTTATCCATCATACCGGCTAGGGCAATGCAATACAACATTGCTGAAATACTTGACGTTTGGTCGCTACACTCCTCTCCTTACAGTAGCTCACAAGAAAACTGCTATCTTCTACAAGACCGCCAACGTCTCTTCACATTCACTTCTAGAACAAGATGAGATTATTCGTATTTCGTCGACTTGCTCGTGGTACAAATACTTGACATAACTTAGCTACAGTACCGCATGCTGCAAATTGTTCAGCGTCGAAGAATTCGTTCGGCGCCAATACTGAATTGCCTGGCTAGGTACCTATTGCACTTCCCTCCTTGCATACAGTACTTCTGACCTAACCTACAAATGAAATCTCTCACATACTTCTCCATAGTCCCTTCTCCTACTCTCTTAAACACTCCACAGCGTTCTCAAACATGGCAGATCTGTCGCTGTACAGTCATCCCTCTCCCCTCGTGGGCTACGAGGATGATCCTCCCTCCCCGACGGAAAAGCTGCCGATAGGAATTCCTACGTCAAACCTTCGAGCGGTTCATTGAGTAAGAGCTACTAGGCATTTAATTGATCCGCTGGATAAAGGTGTTAGAGGTGCTTGCTTTGTAAGTTGCGTGCTATAGATCCCGGTCTGGGTAAGGTCCGAGTAATGCGTAATAGTGACATACACGTGTATTATCTCAGAAGAAGGCCGTACAAGCCAACTTTGCAAGGAAGTTATGGGAGAGGATACATAGGGAATGTACGTTACTCGCAAAATATTCGAGGATAGCGACTAATGCGATACAGTCCTCGAACCTCGTATCTATAAATTTTGAGTATGCTTCCTTCCCATTCCCATTGCCAATCTCATTATCAAGCTACAAACGAGTTTAAGCATCTGCTAACAAACCCGACAGGAAGAGCCCACCGGCCCGCAACTCGTAGCGATGTTCGAAGTGAATCTCTTCACCCCAGCACAACTCGAGGCGTTCATCCCGTGGCTAGTCATTAACCGCGGCTCGCTGAGCGTGCTTGTGCAACCGAATACCGTTGACGAGGAAACGGGCGAGCAGGAGAATGAGGGGCGGGATGACAGGCAGCGTGCGACGTGGGTGGGTGAGAGGGTCGTGCTGGATTTGAGCTTGTTTAAGGATATGAAGGCGTTGAAGGAGGCGTTTGGGGTTGGCAGGTGGTGCGAAGTGAGCGGGAGACTTACGGTGATTGTATGAACTCGGAGTGTTTGTCATTTCGTTTCGAACTTGATTTATTTTCTCAGATGGCATATTGGAACTGCAAATATGAGCACCATATCTGCCCATCATAGTGTATATAGTCTCAGTGAGATGAGAATGTTGACATACAGTACTAGCTCAAAAGTTTGAATCCCCCACCAAAATTAACATGTACACCCATACATACACAAAATCACACTTGAAAAAAATCACAAAATTTTGTAAACCACGAATTTTTAGTACATATCACTCTAAATTTAATATTCTTTCATTCTGTAAAAGGGCTTTCTATTTAGTACTTTGTGTGCCAGTCCTTTGCCTTGATTACCGCAGCTACCTGGTACGGCATACGATCTGCTACCTGCTCAATAGGCTATCAGGAAGGGCCTCCCAAGGCTCCTTTAAAGCGTCCTGTAGAGCCTTTATAGCGTCCTCCCCTCTGCCCATATTCTGTAATTCGGGGTGAGTTTGTAGAACAAGCTTTTCAGGTGGTGCCAGATGTGATCAATCAGGTTCAAATCAGGTGAATACAGGGGCCAGTTGACCAAAGGAATTGCCATATCCGTGAGCCACTGTCAAACTACTTGGGCAGTACGAAAGACCCATTCACCACTTTTACCCCTTTCCTTAGTCAGCCTCACTAGAGCCGTCTGTGTCATCCTCATTGTTCAGTTCAACGTGTGGCCGCAAAGCTTTAAAGTTGGTAGGAAATTACGGTGTATCGTGGAGGCCTGAACCTGTGTCCTGGTGGTGGTGTACAGAGCTTTGAGGTTGGGCCTGATTAAGGTGGTTTTAAATATCGAGAACTCGGCTATCTTCAGGGGCCGAAATGACCCCTCTCAGCAGAACACTCATCTGACCACATATAAATCCTCCACTCTGCTACGGTCCAATGCTCCCGAGCTTTACACCAAGCAAGCCTTTTACGGGCTGCCTCTTACGGGCTGCCTCTTCTGGAAGCTCTGGTCGGCGCTTAGCTCTTCAGTTACTGATTCCAGAAGGGCCTAATATGCGTTTAAGGGTAGTAGTGCTGAAGTTCTTTCCCAGCTCCTCCCGAACCTCCGCATGTGTGCATTTTGGGTGTAATTGGACGCATCTTACAAGACGACGTGCATCTCGCTCTGTCCAAAGCTTCGGCCGTCCAGAACGTGACAGAGACTCTCCGTTCAGGCGTACGGACGCGCGGCGCAAAGTGGTTTTGGCAGTCGATTTTGTCGTCTTGAGAGCCTTCGGGATCTCGGCCGAACTCCCCCCTAACTTTGCTGCCCCAACGATTTGACCTCTCTTATGAGAACTCAGTTCCCTCTTTTGGACTCGATTTGGATGAATTGGACCTAAGGGAACATGGGGGAATAGACCATTTTATTGCTGTATTTAGAGGGTGTTGGGGAGGGGGGGCGATCGGAAAAATCGCGAATTTTAGTGTTGGGGTTTCAGATTTATGCGCGGTGACTATAATGTGATATGTTTATACTTGAAGTATAGCACACCGTAAACCAGTTCACGCTAAAGACGCATCGATTCATCTCGAAAATTACTAAGTATTTGTAATCATACATCCTTCAATCCGGAATGTCAACTATAGGGCTGCAAATGAAGGGTTGCAATTTTTGCTTTCATGGTACATATCACACGTTTTCATCATCTTCATGAAGGAATGACAACACGAAGATCGCTATCATGCCAGTAGTATGGACGAACTCGTGTCTCGTGGTTTCGTAAGCGGCTGTTCCCTACCAAGCGATCACAGTCTCTCTCTGCTCCCGGGTCCCGTCTTCACCCGCAAGTGCCTTCTGACACTTGACCTTGATATACCGGTCCGGGATATGAAAGTCCACTACAGTAAGCAGTACCCTGTTCCCCTCTGGCACCGTCCAACTCCTGTTGTCGTACCTCTGTTTCTGACTCTTATTCGGCAAGCCGATGCCATACGGGTATTGCTGGACATTTCTACTGCCCATGCGTCCATGCCGGTTCGCGGAACTATATCCGTTCGGTGCATCTGTCCCATTTCGTATGCGTTCGTCATCTTCCCAGTCCCCTTCATCGCGCACTGATGCTGAACTGGGATAGCTTTGCTGGACGCCTGGCGAGACTGGGATCTGGATTGGAGGAGACTCCAGTGTGGGTATGGAGAGACCACTTTCTTCGCA